ATTTTTCAGGACGTTTTTTGTTTAATCTAGTGGGAGAGTCGATCAATTGGGTTAGATTTAGTGACAGGTAACATTCCTTGAATTTATCACAGAGGGGGGTCGACTTATCCCAGTCAATGTTGAAATCTCCTGCCAAAAAATCTCTTTGAATTTTAAATTTCCAAGGAATTCAATCAGGGAGGACAGAGCCTCAGGTGTTGCTGAGGGGGGATGATAACCCACTACAGAAAAGATCTGGCCTCCATTCAAAGTGATGTTTACAGCTAAGGCCTCAAACTGGTTTGGGATTGTTTTTGCAGACACAAGACCAGAAATCAGAGAATCTCTGATGTAAATAGCAACGCCATCCCCCTTTTTTGACGATCACAGCGATAGATGTTAAATCCATTGATTGCCAGGTCATTATCGAGTACAGATTTGTTGAGCCAGGTTTCAGAGATGAAGATTACATCTGCCTCAGAAGAACTGACCAGAATTTTCAAGGCATTAAGTTTTCTCAGAAGGCTACGAGCGTTTACATGCAGAAAATTAAGTCCTGACATGTTTTTAAAGTCATTTGGTGTGCTGTAATTAGTGGGGGGTCCAGGGTTGGGCTGAATCCCTGAAAGCAGTAACAACATTATTATCAGACATTTTCTTGAGTTTTTCGTGATGTGTAATTACAGGAGTTAACAGTGTGACAATTACCCCCCATAATTGAACCATGAGAAACATTAATGAAGATGCGGTCATTCAGAACCCAAAAACAGTGATAGTTGCAGTGATGGGCAGATCCAGGTGTATTAACAAGATTCAGTGACTCCAGATAGTCTGAGATCTGAAAATAATGACAATAATATGAATGGTGCAAAAAAGTCTCAGATCATAAAGCTTCACAAATCAAATGGGCAAACAAACCCGACGAGGTGGCCCAACTGCAATTTGAGTTGGGCTGAGGGGGGCTCCAGCCCCCCTGCGAAGATGGATGGATGCTCCCATGAGAAACAAAAGCTGGGTCCAGAATCAACAGGCAGAAACAGATAATTTGCAGCAAATAGCAGAACAAGCTGCCAGAAAAGCCTCCTGAAATGAAAGGCATGGTCCTAGCTCATTTCAGGTCAACAGGGGACAACAGTGTGATACGGAATAAAATTTAATTATTATCCAGGTGAGTTTGGATGGAGGCCTGCAGCAACTCTGATGCAAACTCCGAACTTCTCTCGAGCACCACACAGCGCTGCTCCTCTGCGCTTCACTCCGCTTCTCTGCATGTCACCTCCGCACCCGACAGCACGAAAGGCACCCCCGGTGAAAAACGACGAGACTGACCGGAGAGGCTGAAGTCATCACTGGTCCAGTCCGGTTCTGCTCCAGTTCAGCTCCAGTGCTCCACAGCATGAGAAGAGGCTGAAATGGCTGAAGTTGTCCCTGGCCCGGTTCTGCTCCGGTCTGGTTCCGGCGGCGCTTCAAAGCATCAGAGCATCTCCTCCAGGTGAACAAAGCGGTTCCCATGGAGGTGGACAGTCTTTCGTTAAAAGGTTATGGGTTGCTCACTGAGGCTGAGACCAGCTCTATTAAAGACGAAGTCCCCCACAACCAACTCGGTTCTGTTCTGGTCCAGTTCGGGTGACACAGGTACACTTCCCCCACACCAGTGAAGACACCACAAGGGCCAGTCCAGCAGAAAACCAGCAAAAAAGCCATCAAAATACCACCCAGCAATTCTTGTCAGAACCAGGTAGAACCACAAAGGTCTATATGAGAAGTTTGTTGGGGTCCGGAGAGAGAAACAACACCGGACCTTCGTGCGGCAACTCCCCAGCTCGAGGGGTCACCTGGCTGGCAGGGTGTGCTCAGAGTGACTGGTGGGGTGGAAGCGGCCGGTCCTGGACCAAAATAATTTTTTGGACGGTCCCATCCGGCTCTCTGAGTCACTGAACACCGAATTCGGTTGGAAGGGGGACCAACTTTAGTCTGGTTCGAAAAACGGGTCAGTTTGATGATAAAAGACTGCAGAGAAGCCAGGGGGAGCTGCCGTCCATCAGCTTGCCGGAACCGGAGAAACGATCGATCGGTCGGTCGGTCGGTAGGTCGGTAGATCGGTCGGTAGGTCGGTCGGTAGATCGGTCGGTAGGTCGGTCGGTCGGTCGGTCGATAGATAGATAGATAGATAGATAGACAGACAGACAGACAGACAGACAGACAGACAGACAGACAGACAGA